CCCTGGCTCTCAATCTCACCACGAAGGCATCAAGGCGAGAGACAACGTCAAGTACGATTAAGGCGGTGCGCGCAAGGATCCAAGGCATCGTACACAATGGCCACACGCTCGATAATTCGCGCTGTCCGAGTCCAATTCATACTGCAGCAATGCAATGAGAGTGAAAGAGGTCATTCGCGAACACAAGACTAGCGCGCCGCTCCTTGATCTGAGGCGTGAACGAACCCAAAGAGTCGACCATGGAGGTACCTGCGAGCTCGAACACGGAAGCAGCAGAACTACCTCGCGGCCGCTTACGCCTGCGCTCGTAACTATTGTGGAGGCTGCGGAGTCATCCTCGTGGCCGTTGATGCGACGTAGCTAGACTGAAGAATCTAAGTCCGGGTCGCAATTGAAGGGGAAAGAAGGGCCGTAGTCAAAATTATAACATTTTGAATCATCGGTCTGACGTAAGGAATCTTGATCCTTGGTTCAAACGCTTGAGTCAAGAAGTCAAGCACGCGAACTCACGACATTTACCACTGTTCTCATGGCCATGGAACTTAGATTCAGAATCTTGAATATGAGTCGAGCTTGAGTCACGAGTCTTGAATCTGGAGCATGACACTCAGACTCAAGAATATCAGAAGTATATAAGCAAGTTCAAGACTCGTATATCACGAATCTGACTCACCCGTCAAGCAGGGCCGTGTGAAATCACGTGACTGCAGTTGCTAAGGGAGCCTAGGGTCTGAATCCAAAAACATCAGAGTCGTGGGTCTCTTCAGTCACAGTCGTGAGTATAGCCCTGTGCGCGCGTCTGACAGGGCGCCTCTAAGTCCGCCCGCATATGAATCCCCCGCGCTCTTCCGAACTTCCATCACAAGGGCATCCATCCTTCATATAGCCTTCAGCAGATACCGCAATCACAGATCGTGAATCACAAATAGCGAAGTCGGCGGCTCATAGCCCTCAAATCGGCGAGTCAAGAGTTCGAGTCGCAGCCGTGTGTCAAATGCTTCCTGCAAGCGTCACCCCACGTTGACAGTTTGACAGCCACTTGGGAGGTCGAAGAGTCACATTTATCTTCCCCGCGTGCGTCTCGGCCCACTCTACAGCAGATCAACAGACACCTTAGCTTGGATTTTCCCAGCTCTGCGCGTGCATCCTCGCCGCATTTCGCGTCTGGGACTGCATAGATCGCCATACCTGCTGCCATCGCCGCTGAAGGTCCGGATGATTGTGAGTGTGCAACATCAAGATGCTCAGAGGCGCACAACGCCTTTATGTACTTCTCGCGCAGTCAGCAGTCCGCGACGTAAAGTGCTTTCATACACCGTCTCACCAATTGACTTTCAGGCGCATTGACGAAGCTTTCGCCACCCACATCCATGCCTATGAGTTCACACATGTGGAGAAACGATGAGTCGTCAAGATCGATGGATGTTAATCTTTAGCCACGAAGATGAAAGGTACCCCGTTGACACCCAAAGTAGCGACGGCAAAGTTGTGCCCTAATCCCAGGAAAAGTGGGTGAGATGCACTTTCCGTGGAAGGCTGACGCTGAGCGTCATAGAGTTGCTGGAGACGACGTGCCATCGCGGCTGGCTACCATCGCGCCCTCTGAGCGGTGTAGCATAATGTCGAGGCATCGCACGACTGAGAAGGAAGATCAGCACGCGCAAAGCAAACGACCGATTGTTTCTCGGGGCCCCAGAGGGATCATAGCCGAATACGTCAATCACGAATAGACGGGCTGCAAGGGAGCGCAGATGGTGACCTGTCTTCCAAGGTCCAAAGCGCTTCGGACGTTCGTGACGATGACACCTTTAAGCTAGACGGAAGGGCATGAACTTGTGACAAGCCTGGGCAGGGAATCGTCTCAAGCTTGCACGTCCGGTGTACTAAGCGAGTCATGAGTGTTGATGCCATTCGCAAGCTCCCCGTGTTCTTAGAGCGTACTTTGCTGTGGCTCTCTGCTGGAAGTTCCGACCGGCGAGCAGTATCCATCGTCATCGCGCTCTGCGACTCTCACTCAAAGCAAAGCAGTCTTCGCACGCTTCGTGTTTGTAGACAATTTACGTACCTTCACAACAGCGGACCAGGCAGGTGAGTTAGCGCTTGAGCGTCACTTCCCGATTGGAGCAGGTACACAAAAGAGCTCAAGTTCCCATCCAATCAGCCGGAAGTTTGCTCCAGCGACTGCATCGTCGAGCTTGCACTCACACTGTAGCCCTTAAGACTGGCAAGGCGCTAGTGGTCGTGGGCCCTGGTTCTAGACACTCGACGCCAGGACCTGTCCTACCAGCGACGCGAATCATACCTACGGACTCGCGCCATGGGAGTGCGCACTGTCCAGATCCCCAGCGCCAGCCAGACAGAAGTGCGCGGCCATGGTCCAGTCTGACATTCACGCTTCGCGACCACGCTATCCACGCACACAACGACAGGGGAACTGCCAGGAAGCAGTCCATGATAGCAAGGAAGAGTCTTTTTGAGTTTGAGTGTGGCGTCAATCGCGAATCACCTTGCGGCTTCCTGCCGCGTACGCGCGTCCTTTAGCGTCGGGATCGGAGGGACCGGTCCCTCGACGCGCGCGGTTCTAGGCCCCGCATCAAGACGGGAAGGGTCGCTACTCTGGCTCTGCGAACCGGCGGACACGATACTGATTGTGGCTTGCGCGCTCAGGTTAACGCCCAGGCAATCAGAATGCTGAGAGCGCATCGACTCCTTGCGCGTGGGGCTCCTTTCTTATGGGTATAAAACAGCTTGTATTGCCGCTCACAAGAAAGAGCACGCACAGCAAGCCCTCCTCCTTCACAATATGCTGAACCTATCTCGCTTCACCCCAAGACCTACGGGTCCAACAGCACCTCCTTCAAAGGATGCGACTCCAGCAGCACCTTCAAACGGTGCCAGTCCCACAGCACCTCCTTCGAACGTCGTGAGTCCAACAGCACCTCCTTCGAACGTCGTGAGTCCAACAGCACCTCCTTCAAACGATGCCAGCCCCACAACACCTCCTTCGAACGACGCGAGACAAAGCAAAGAAAAGGTCGACCCAAAAACGCAAGCTATCCGCGACGAAGCAGCCACACAGCTCGGGAAACAACTCGGTATCTTTACCGCTTATTGTCGTCGACTGGACCATTTGCTTGAACATACATCTGCGCCCTCGGATGTAGCTGACAATGCCGCATTTAAGAAGCTCCGAAATAATTGGGCACAAGAGATGGAAGCAGCTGGTAGGGCATGTAATGCCGTTCAAAAAAATTGGTCTGGTTGGAACGGGCACTGGGGAAACACTTTGTGGCTATGCATTGGAAAATGGTCCCGCCGCATGGTGCCACCCACGGACGGGTTCAACCTAGAAGACATTTGTAAGGACTGTGGAGACATCAACGATCAGAGTCCACCTCGCGACTACGTTGATGTGAAGGCGTTCCGATCCGAGCTGCGGCGCAGGCTTTCGAACGCGTACCCGGATCTGTACGCCAAAGATGGAGAGTCGAAGTCTCCCAAAAATGAGCACGAGCGGCTGAAGTCCGACATCACGTTCTTGCTTGCGATAGCAGGATTTGTGGAGGTCGAGGAGGATTTAGAGGAGGATACTAAGCGCAAATTTTTGCGGAGTGCGCGACCGTGGCTTGCTGCTCCAGTCGCTCAACTTATCCATCGAGTCATTGGGGGAGGCGAAGCTCAGATTCAGGGAGTGCAGCCGGCACAAGCTGCTCAAATACGACTGACGATGTCGGTCACCAACACAAAGGCACTTATGAAGCAAGGCACTGATTCGTCCGTCAGACGGACCCTCGCTTTCTTTCTTTTGGTGAGGAAACTCTACGAAAAGCATGTGAGAACTTTAGAATCACCCATGCAAGATGCAGTCGATCAGATAGACGACGAGATAGCGGACCTTATCCGAGGCGGCAATAAGCAGTGGCGTGTGCTGCTGCGTCGGCGCCAAGAGATCGTCTTGTGTCTCCGTGAATGGCCTACAAAAAGCATACCCCCGATGCCTTGCGCTGGCGATCGAAACGCCGAGATGGATGTCAACACGAGGGTCTCAGCGAGTTGGTACGCTCATCGCAATCTTCGACATATCCTATCGCCGATGCAGCTCAACAGTGTTGAACCCAAAGGGCTGCTCCTTTACTATCTACACGGCGCCTCCGGCGTGGGAAAGACGCAATTCTGCATCGACCTTGCTAACACTTTCGGGCTTCCGGGCTGTAGCCCTGACCTGAACGAGACAGACCTTCCCAGCTTCTTCAAGCAACCTTCCCAAGATCTGGAAAGCTGGTCGGATCCTCGAGTCAGTGCAGAACAACTCATCGGCACAATACCTTGGCTGATTGTGCAACATTGTTGTGCCAATCCTGTGCTCATATTTGAGCAGCCCCGAGTCCTATCAGGGGCCGCCTGGTCAAAGCACTTCGATGCCTTGGTTGCCTTCCTAGAGCCCGCCCAGCAGATTCAACAAATAAGCATTGCTGGGTCTGCAGTGAATTTTGACATCTCAGCCGTTACCGTCTTCTTCACAAGCACCGAAAGTCTCCAAAATGAAAGGCTCAAAAGCCGGCTAACACTTGTACATTTTCCTCCTTTGTCGCCGGAAGCCAAGGCGAAGGCACTCCATCGATTTTTGGAAGAAGAAAAGAAAAGGGTCACAAAGAAGCTCGACGAGACTTTACTGAACGGGGTGCATGCACGATTAAGAGGACTTGTCGAAAGTCTGTCCACCCGAGAGCTATGTAAGGAGGCAGGCCTTCGGAGGCTGCTTTGGGTCTTTCGTCACCCGTTGTGGGGCCACGCCTTGAAGGCAGAGCAGCAACGGGCCGGCAAGCACGATCGCGACAAAATCGACGAGATAGAGAAAGAGTTCCGCGATGCGGTCGTGGACACGATGACCACAGAATTCAATGAATCGGGCGAGGATGAGATGAAACAGTACTCGGTCAGAGTACATAAAGCCATTGCAAAGGGCATTGTCCAAAGCACATTGGACCAGAAGCGCTCTGCTAATGTAGCCGCTGCATTGCGCGCAAGAAGAGGTACCCAGCGGCTGCCAAAACTTGCATGGTTCAACGAGCAACGCCATCAGAAGCTGAACAAGCCTGTGGAAGAAGACGTCATCATGAGAGCTGTGATTCATTCGTCTACTATCATCTCGCTAGTCCATTCACTACACTCCCGTCACAAAGATTCTTCTGCCTAGCACGTCCGACTGCGTCGTAAGACACGAGCCTATTGCTGAGCAACCTACCGATTCACGAATGCAGCAATAGTCCATGAGCGCGAGGAAGCGCACTTTGCCTTGAAATCCGATGCGAGTTGCTGCTCAGACGCGAGGTGGACACAACGAGTCCCGGGGTCATGCCTTGCGGCCTCTCAAAAGCAGCATGATGGGCTCATCGAGCCTGTCCGTCAAAGCAAAGGGTCGTCACGCTCAACGTGGCCAATGCAAGGCGACTGCTGGCCTTCAGCTTCACTATCAACGTGATGGTCGCTGGGCAAGTCACGCGTGTAGCACTTCAGGCACCAGAGTCAGTCAGTGTGCGCAGCTTCGTCAAGGTGTGCTTCCTGCATTCATGCCATGCATCTTGTGTACACGCACGAGCTGAAGAGCTGTTTGAGGTGTCGGATGAATTCGGCTCGCTGAGTCGAGGTCAAAGACGAAGGCACTCATCGGGACTGCCGTGTACAGCGAACCGCTCTAGAAGATGCTCAAGTCAGCGTTCTCAGGAGCCCATGTACTTCACCCAGGCAACGCCTTACTGCGGAAGCGAGATCACTTAGCCTTCTCACGCACCTAAATGGCTCTGTCATGCCAGGAGCCACTCCTCCTTGAGAAGCGCGCCCCTCTCAGAGTACCATGATGTCAATGTCTTTCGCATAATGCCTACGCGTGCTATTTGTGACATTAATGAAGTGCTGGAGACGGTGTTGTTAAAAGTACACAGGTACGCCATAGACGACGACAGCAGCGCCGGTGAGATAGGGCAACTTGCAAGCATCCCGAGAAGCATTGACGGCTTGCGTGAGGGAGAGCTTTGAGTTGCCGGATGAGTTACAAGTGTCACTGGGAGGCTCGATCCCAGTCGAGAGGACGTCGGTAGAACGCATCAGGCCGCACTTGACAAAGACGCTCTCTGCGACTCCGTCCAATTCGCGGTCCGTCGCGTCCCAGAGGTTGGCGACCAGGGCCGGACAGCCAGCAAGCATGTAATTGTAGGGAGTTCCAGCTCGATCGTATTCACCTTGATCGCGAAGTACGCCCGAGGAACATCCCCACAGCATGGTCACTGCGCATCTCTTCAGTGACCGAATGGCTTGAGATCGAGCAAATTGTTCTGCTCCCGAATGCCCAAAGTAGAGAACCAGGTCCTTGGAAGCCAAGCTGGCAGAAAACGCATCAGCCACGGGCACATGGCCAGCATCGCCAGCCCATTTACGAGACTTGAGCCACGGCTCGAAACGTTCTTGAGTTCGAGTAAGCTCGCCAGAGGGATTCAGAAGGTAGTATGCCGATGGCTTTTGGCCGAAATTGAAAGAGCCGCCCTCGTCTTCCCTGCTTTGCGGCTGAGCGAGTCTGGAAAGCTCAATGCGGTCCTGCAAGAACGAGAGGGAGGGTATGCGGCTGACTGCTCGACCGCGGACGCACGGCATCGACTCCCATGGCAACGCGCATGTGTCCTTGTCCAGCACCAGGAATGTGTGCGCAGCGGGCAAAGTGTGGGCATCGACGCCACTTCCACGAGTTCTAGCGTTGACTTTGCCGCGAAAAGTCTCGAGGGCACCACGCAGCTGTATCACCGTGTGGTCAAAGTCCACCTCATCAACAGCGATCGGCACGCTGCTGAATTGGAAGGAGTCGATGACAAAGTGCAGCAGATCCTCGAGCTCTTCGTCGGTGCACGCGGGAGGAAGCGCGGACAAACAGTCGAGAATTGCTTCGGGGACCTGTACTCGCGCTGCCCTCTTGGAGCCGCTCGCGCCAAAACACGCGCGCCTGAAAATTCCATCCCAGGCGGTTTTGAGCGAAGCGAGTTCATCTGCCTGGGCAGTGCTCTCGAGGAAGATACTCTGTGATACACAAAAGGTCAGCGAAGTGCTCATGCTATCATGCATCGTTTCATGCAACACACCTTGAAAGGTCCCAGCCACCTCTGCTCGATTGCCTCGACCAAGTCCTTAATTCTGGTGTCTAGCTGCATGCGATTCTGCCACCATTGTCTCCTAGCGTCGACCCCTTGAAGATTCTTGGCCCCTTGCGTTGCTCTATTGCTGGTGTCCACAACATCTTTGAGCTCTGATAGCGCCGCAGCCATGCTGAGCTCTTCCTCCTCGCCTTCGCGTCGGCCGTGTCGGTCGATGGGCAGCCGAAATGCAACATCGTTGGCATGAGCTTGAGCAGCTGGCCCTCGCTGTCGCGAGACGACAAGGCTTGAGCCGTCGTGAGAGAGATTGATGGTGATCACTGTCCAGTGAGGCGGCAAGTCGATCCTCGTAGCGGCGTCTGCTTTCACGATCTGAGCCGCACAAGTGGCGTGGCGGTGTTTGACACTCTCCCAGTAGCTTTGCAGTTGTTGATCTGTCAAAACATTCTTGCGAGATGGGTTAATGGCGGCTTGCACTTCGCTGTCTGACTCATCGTCACTGCTCAAAGCTTGGTGGTCGTCCTCATCCATCAACGCAGCAGCTCGGCCAGCTCTTAGCGCGGGCCTGGTCCGCGGTGCGCGTTTGGCTGCGCTCGGGCCTGCAAAGCGAAGCCACTCCGGCGAGTTAGCGCCGACAACCGGCGGTTGCCGCTTGAGCTTCATTTCAATCGCTTCCGTGAGCTCCCGTTCAAGCGTCACAGCAGAGGCCGCATTCGTGGTCTGGGCAATTTTGCCGACACTTTCGTCACCTTCACCGCCGTGCAAAAGGACGGCCGCGAGACTATATAAGTCAGTGAGCAGGCTGAGCACCTTTCGCACGAGGAAGGCACGAGCCGTCGATGAGCTCAGCAAGCTCGCGCTTAGACTCGACGCTTGCTGCGAGAACAGTGCGGCTACACTCTTGGCTAACTGCGGTGGCTCGCGAGCATTCGCGTAGGCAGCATCTGTGAATGAGATGACAGTCTCAGAGATCAGGCTTAGAACTTGATCGCCTTGCAACTGCTGAAGTGCACGTCGGATAGCCACCTTGGCGTCCGCAAGGGCAACTTTGCTTTTGAGACTTGAGTCGCCATGTCGTTCGAGCTGGTGTAAACGATCAAGCTTGTCGCTCGCTTCTTGAAGACGGTCGAAATCGAGCAGTGCCTCCACGTGTTGAGCTAGCACATCCATCTTTAGTCGGATCAAGGGGAAATCCGTGAAGAGCTGAGCGGGAACGGCGGGGCTGCTGATCTTCTTTAAAGCTGCAGACTTGCTCTTTGTTGGAGCGGCTACTTGTCGCTTCGCTGCGGTTGAACGGCGCTGCTGATCCGCTTGCGGTGCTGGTCCAACGACACGAAGCTTTTTGACCAGTTCAACGAGTGCTTCGGATTCCGTCGACACTTTTGCAATTTCTGAAAGGACTATATTTCTTCCATTTTCGCCGCTTATTGTCGCCTCTGCAATCGCAAGCGCGCAGGTCTCGGGTAGCAGGGAGCCGCCAAGCAGCAAACGCGCCTGCTGAAGATCGTCTCGCGCCACGAAAGTCTGAGCGAGCGCAGCCCGGATGCGCGCTCTCTGCATCAAAGCCGTGGCCGAAGGGACGGGAACGCCGAGCGGCTTGCAAAAGTTGATTGTTTCCGTTGCAAACATTTCAGCATCTTTCGCGCTGCCACGTAGATCGTACAGGGTCGACGCGTGACTGTAGGCGGCCGAGGCGCAGTGGACAACCCGCCAGTACAGACTGGCCACAGCGTGCGTTCCCACACTGACGTGGGTGGGTTGCTGTTCCGACTGCTCGCTGTTGCCACTGCTCTCGGCGTCAGCGACCTTTTTGCCGTCTATCGACGCAGGTGGCCCTAGTAGCTGAGCGATATCTTTGGCCTCTTCGTCTGTCTTGCTGATCTTTGGCGGCGTACATATCTTCGTCATGATGCTTACAGCGCGCGCAGAACATCTGACGCCCTCAACGGCAGCCTGCAAGGCACTAGTCGCGTCTCCTTGCGCTTGACGTATCAAGCTGTACACCTCTGCAGCCTGGGCATGTCTCAGATTCGAGGCTGCTCGTTCGAGGGCCATGGTCCAGCTAGATGATTTTGGCGGCGACGCCTCGATCAACCCCGCAGCAGCGATAGCTTTCTCGTACATCTGTACCGCCTCTTGCAAATGCTCACGATGGATGCAACCTTTTGCTCGGACTAGAAATAGACTGAAGCGGACAAGAGGCCCGGCGGTGATGGCGTCTGCTGATCGCAGAACCTCCTCAGCTTCGGTGTGCAGGCCCACTTTCATCATCTCCTCTGCCAAATCCGCTCCACAAAGCGTCTTATCACCGACAGCATGTCTGTCGAGTGTGTCCGGGTTATGAAGCTGCCAAGAGGCGGACAAGACCTCCAAGCGAGCAAGCGAATGGCCGCTTGCGACAGTCATACGTGCCGCCAGGTTTAACAGCGACCCGAGGCGTTCCTTGTCGAGAGCGTCGGTGCCTGACGTCTGACTTGTTGTCGCTGGCGCCGTAGTAGGTGGTGTTGGTAGCAACGCCATTGGTTTGCGTCGCGGAGGGGTGCGAAGAGCAACATTGTCTTGCCTGGAGAGGCTGTCTTTCAAGATTCGCTTCTCCGGCTCCTGCCCCGTCTTTGTACTTGCGCTCGGCACCAAATTGCGCAAGCACATCGCCGCCTCGTGCGCATACTTGCCGGTTCTCTCGATGCCAAGTGCTCCCGAAGCTTTCTGAGAAGCACAAAGCATGAGGAGAGCAAGCTGTGCGCGAAGTGCAGGTACGCAGCCGACTAATCTGGCATCGGCGCCGAGTGTCTCGCGATCCAGCAGCGTTTGCGCCTCGAGCCGAATTTCTTCGACATCCTCGTACGTCCTATTGCCGAGGAGCACGCAGCTTTCGAGCTGGCGCAAGAGCACGCGTGCCCTGCGCAGTGGATACGTGGTAGGGCCATAGACCTCTAAAGCGCTCTGCAGCGTATCCATCAAAGCATTTGGCGCTTCCGCGCGATGAGCCAAAGGCTCCAAAGTCTTGGAGCACTGCTCGAGTAGGACTCCAATCGCGGTTTCTGGTACTGCTGCGTCTTTAAGAACTCGAAGCACGCCATGGGGCGCTTTCGCACACTGAGATCGCAGCAGAGAAAATGTCGAGACGTGCTGGAAGCTCGTGACGATATTCGCAACCTGCAGAAGGGCAGGATTCGCAAAGATGTCGCATGGCGCACTGTTGTGCGTTGCCTCTGCTAACATTTCCCACCGTGCAGGCCGTATAGCGCGTACAGCCTTGATGGAAGCGTCCACAGCACGTGCATGCTGCTCGGCAAGCCTCAGAGAAGAGCTCAAGACGTCGTATCGTCGCACCGCCGCATCAGCGCGCTTGTCGCTCATTTCATCAGCAGGAGAGTTAGCAAACAGTCGTTCGGACAGCTCTCCTGCTTCGCAAGACTTCTCTAGGAAAGCAACGGCTGCACCCGCAAGTCTTTCATGGTAAAGCCTCACCCCCAGCTGGTACCACGTCGTCGAAACGTTGTAGGCTTGCTTTGCCTGTGCTTCGAGAGCAAGCGATTCCAACGCGCACAAGGCGTCTACTTGCGACAAGCTGTCTCGCGCTTCATCGTGCGTGCTGCTGATGGATGGCTTGAGAACAGAAGTCGCAAGGAATCGACCAGCGTCGCAGGTATCGTGCAGGATATCTTCCACGCTAGTGCCTCGCGTCAATGGCGGACCACCTGGTGTTCTCAGGTGCCTCGAGGTGACGCGCATGTAGCTCTTGACTAATTCTGAGAGTGCACTGTCCACCAGCGAAGCGCTCATAGCGTCCAGCATTCTCCTGCAAAGTCTACCCAGACTTGTAAAGAGCTGTTCACGGCCGTCATCCGAGGCATGAAGACTCGTAGATCCAAGGTCGTCCAGACATGCGCGTGCTCCGTCGAGCAACGCTGCTTCGGGTAAGGTCTCGCCGGCCGTATCGAAGGCGACGACGGCTTTGGTGATGACGGCCACGGACCTGGCAATGTGCAAGTCAGCTGAAGCAGAGTCTTTGCGATTGTGCTGTTTCGGATCGTCCGTGCAGCTATCGCTGTCGGAGGCCGTGAGGAGTTTCGCAATTCTATCAACAGCCGTGCAATCCTTGGCGTGCCGTGCGTAGTTAAGCCATACCTCAGCAAACTTGACGAAGCCCTGCGTAGACAGGACCTCTGGCCCCAGCCTATTCAGCCACTTTGTGAATGCAGCATCCATGCGCGCAAAAGCATGGGGACGGGCTTCGTCTGTGCAAGCTTGGTAATGCGCTGCGCCTACACGCGCAGCTGTAGCCAAGAAAATGTCGGTCTTGAGATCCGAAACACAAAGCAAAGCCTCCAGTCCTATCGATCTTGCTTCAAAAGTGACGTCGCTAGCGGGGGTGAGAACATGTTCCAAGCGCGAGAGCGATGCACGGAGACCTCTTTCGAGCGCGAAAGCAGGTCGATCGGCACAGGACTTGCTGGTGGGATCCTCCGCAGCTGCGCGTAGCCAGGCCAGCACGCCTTCGGGCTCTCGTAGAACCTCAAGATAAGCTTCGAGGTCGGAAGCTGCAAGTGTCTGAAGCGCTCCAGCAGCGCTCAAAGTAAGTGTGTCGAGGATGAAAGGTTGGATCTCACGCGAGACATTGCCTGGCGAGGGAAAGAGGATAGTCCTGTCCCGTACTGTCCTGTCTGCGTGCGCGTCGAAGTCGGCCAGACCGCACGACACGAGCGATTCACGTCTCAGAGCTGCAACCTCATCTCCGATCACTTCTCCCTGCGATTTGCAAATGTCAGTGTAGAGCGCTATGATGCACCAGTAGCGACACGCCGCTCGCATCCACTCACCAGTTCCAAGCTGATCATTTTCCTGATGGCTGTACAGCGCGCGCTCAGGAGCTCTGTGCCCTTCCCTGCTGGCTGCACTTCTCGCGACAAAAATGTGAGAGCTAAGCCGCAGCATTTGAGTAGGTCTGCAACATGCCTGGATGTAACCGTTCCTGACGCCGGCGTGGTACCGCTGCAACTGCGAGGTGCATCTCTAGGGCGCTGCGTGGTGCTTGAATGCGCTGGTCTCGGGGCAGCGCTTCTTGCGGACGCATCCTTCTTGTCGCCGCGCACCTGGCTGGCTTGCTCGCGTGTAGATTTTGCAGGTTTCCATCCAGCCACGACGAGATCGTTGAGGCTCTTGAGACAGGCATTGGCGATGCGCTTCGCCAAGTGCGCTTTTTGCATCTTCGTCATTTCCTGCTTCTCCTTGTCTACGATGTGCAGTGCGGTGCACGTCGCAGATGATTTTGCTCCAACTTGGGCGAGCCCCGCACTACATGGCCCAGCGACACCGAACAGCCCTTCTAACGCCAACACCAAGTCTCCTGTAATCGAACTTGCAATGCTCAACCTGGAGAGCACTTCCTCGCCATCTATGCAGTGCACCTGTTGTGAATCCGATGCTCCAGAGGCTACAGCTCCCAGGTTTCTCATAGCTGCCGGTCTTCCCGAGGCAGCTGAGGCCGCCTTGCCTGTCGTCGGCGCCACGACGGAGGCCATTTTAGGCTTCGATGAAGAGATTGATCGTGGAGCATCGAGAGCTCCCGAGACCTTCCTTGAAGGCGGCAGAAGCTTGCTTGAGCTAGAGCTCTGCGCAGCACGACCATTGGACCTGCTATTGCTGCCTGCACTTGCCGCAGCAGTCTTCGCTACTGGCATACTGTGATAACGAAGCCGGAGCGAAGACTCGTCTATTTGTGACCTCCGGCGATCTCGACGGTGCTCGGTGAAGACAAAGCAGGCGGCGACTCGACGAAGGCGCCATTCGATTGATGTATGGCGACGAGATGGTCAGCGGGAGCCTCAGGACGTGTGGTAATGATGGCGGTATGCATTTCGGGCAAGACTTCAAACAATTACACAAGCGTTCACTCGATCGCCAGCAGGATCCCAACTCGCGCTCTTCATATACAGTCGTGCCCTGATGTGCTCGTCTGCCATGATGCATCCTTCTCGCGTGTTGGGGTGTTTGTTGACTGCGAACACGCGCGCTGTGTCGTGCCGCGGCGAGGCAAGACGCGTGAACGCGCGCGCGTGCGCGCGCGCAGTAGATGTTTACGCATCCCACTCGCGCACATATTGACCGGCAGCCGCGCGGCATGTCCTCACGCGTGGATAGAAAGGATACACAAACAAACCCCACTCCACGGGGCGTTTGTACGTGTGACTTGCTCGTACACTTCCACGCTTGCGACTCGTCAGCAGGACCAAAAGTCACACAGAGGCTTGTCCTCCAGCATCGCAATACGTCTGATCCGCAACGAAGCGATCTTCAGCCGCGGAAGGCTGTTCAAGCCACTGTGCGAGAGCTGCTTGCCCCTTACCCTCGACCTGTACTGCTCGCGGTCCGTTCGGCAACGGAGCCTCGCGCAAAGGCTGCCGCAAGGCGTCATTCTCAAGACGACGCCATCTCAAAGCTCACCTGGAGCACACCATATCTTTCAGTAGACATACGATGATGACAAGCGTCACTGACTGATAACACTCTCTCGACGATCTCTCTTCGCCATGAGCACGCGCTCTTCAAGACGGACCAACCCGGCTTCGACGAGCCGGCAAGCGGAGCAGGGTACAGATTTGGCCAATCGATCATCGGCTCAAGCGGAAAGCGTCAGAATTCGTTCTTCATCCTCAAGCAATCGCGCGGATAGCGTCGCTTCAAGCGTCTCCACTGTGCGGCCCAGATCGAAGAGGATTCAGGAGGGCCCAACCGCGTCCAAGCGGCAAGCGGAAGTCAAGGGCGTGGGCGGTCTGAAGATCGAAGATGAGATTCTCCTCGAAGAAGACGAGAGGGATCTTGGTGGCGAAGGGGTGGAGATGGACGTGCAAGTTGTAGAGACGCCACGGCCACGAGGAACGCGAGCGCCACGCCCTACGAACGTTGTGCTGAGCAGCTTCGCACAGGATGCCGCCAGCTCGCCAAGCTCCGTGAGGGGAGGTGTCGGACCTCAAATTCACGTGTTCGGCAGCTCAAGTGTGCGATCCGTGGAACAGGAAGCTAGTCGCTTGTCGGGCGGCCGATTAGGACCTCCATCAAGCCAGCACGAAGTAGTCGCATCTCCACGCACCGACGGTGGTGCTCCAGCAAGCTACGCTCTGGGTCGGCCACGCATGAGTTCCGAGATCCCTCGAGCAGCGAGACACACCTCGATAGGAGTGATGGCAGGGCCAGATCGTGTCCCCCGCAGAAGGCAAGTGTCTGCCCTGACATCAGGCGCCGAACTTCAGGAGCTCATGCGGAGTGGAAGATTGAGCGACAGCACCTCGGGCCACAACACAGTCTCCTTCCTGTCAGATGCCAGAGGTGGCGACGCGTTCAGGCGCGGCTCTATCAGTACGAGAAAGAGCAGCGTAGGACCCCGCCTTCGACCCAGCCTTATGAAGTCAGATGGACAGGTCCATGAACCATCGTTGGCTCAGCGAAGCAACATGCTCGCTGGCAATGCGCAAGGCGTCCTGAACTTCTACGCAGAAGTCATGCGCGATGGTTTCACCGATGAATCGGTCGCCGCGATGCGCAGAAATTGGGAACCATTCCAATGTGAGTCAAAGAATGCGTGCAAAGGGCTCCGCATCCGCTTATAGTGCCTGCGCATGCCCCACAGCATACAAAATGAATAAGCTCATGGCCGAGGCTCAATATCCAAGTCACTTCATCGACGAACGAGCCATGCTGCTGGCTAACGACATTACGGATGCCTCTTCTGAGTTTGGCGAAGCACTACGGCTGGCAAATTGCGCCACCTTTGTTCACTACGTATACAGTATTCCTGCGGATGCGACTCCCGCAGCATTGAACCAGGGATACTATCCCCATCGATCGCTTTCCGAGCTGCTAGACGCTGGCAGAATCTTTTTAGCTTGGATCGTCCCGCCCGACACGCCCTACTCCGATGATATTTTGGCAATGCAGGTCGATCTGTGCACCCAAGTCTATTTTGCTCGTCGAAGAGCTGATCGGCACGTCCAACTGTCCGCACGCAAAAGGGCGGTAGACCATCGAAACGAAGTCTTTTCTCCAGAGACAATCAGGAAGAGCTTGTTGCGAGCCGCAGCTTATAGGCAAATATCTCCTGACGACTTAGACTTGATCGTCGAGCGATTCGCTGTCCTTGCCGATGCCCGCAAGTACCAGGTGAGCTACACGATTTTCTGCCTTCACTCGACGCGTCACTCATAGTGCAAATTCACCTGCGCAGATCCTGCAAATGGACGACGAGGTCGAGTCTATGGCTGCCCACTGGAGCGTGACTCAAACAGCGTCGGACTTTGCACGCTTCATCGAGTTCGCCCTGCAAGTGTATCGCCCTGTTGCGCCCTGCTCCTCGTCCGTCGAGGATTTGCTCGAGACTGCACAGCTGGAGAACGAAACTAGGGTCGATGATAGCGAGCTGCAGATCGAGCGCGATCTGGCCGGAAATGGTTCGATGGTGGTGCTGGACGACGTGGCTGAAGAAGACGAATTGGAGTCTGAAGTCTTCGAGGATCAGGACGAGGATGGCGCAGATTTGAGAGGCAACGCCGTTCGTGCTACTGGCATGGCAGAAGAATCGAGCACACCCACAGAGAGACAAAGATGGCTTCGAGAAGCAGCAGAAGCCGAAAAAAGTACGGAGATCCGTGATGTCTCGACCATCCTTGCTTCTACGACCCCGAGGCAGCGTCGTTCGTGGCTTTGCGACGCCGTTGCGGCCGAAAGCACGCCAGAACCATCAAATGCACTCTCTTCCGCTGCTAGGCAGCGCATCCTCGCTGAGATGGCACTCAACGAAGTCAGTGCCATGGCCGCAGATGCGTCTCCGCAGCCGGCTAGAGAGAGCCCCGCTGAGCGCGTCGCACCTCCAGCAGCAACGCCTCAAAGACCTTCTGCACTCAATGCGCGCAGTATCATGGCAGGCCTCCGCTCGGCTCGAAGGTCTGTTAGCATCCAACCTAGTGCACAGCAAACGCCAGCACCTGCAACCGTCAGGCTTCCACCACCACGCTCGGGCCTCAGAAGCCAAGTCGCCGCTGTAGAGGTGCCACTGATCGAGGCGAGCTCTAGCAGCGGTCGTTTCCAGTTTGACTCGCAGAACCGTATCAGGAGGACGAACGAACCTGCTCCTGAAGGCTTGCTTGCCAACAGACGCGGGCAAGGAGAAAGAATGGAACGTTTTGACGTGGATGAAGATGGCGATGCGTTCTTGCAAGATCAAGTCAATTTGAAAGGAAAGGGCAAACGCAAGGGCCGCGAACGACCTGGAAAGATGAGGGCAAAGCAAGGCGTGGATGACGCTGATCTCGGTAGTGCCCCCGCAGAGAAAGCGTCCGGTGCGGCATCTGTCGCGACAAGAAGGACGCGAGCTCAAGCTCGAGCACTTGAGGGACCAGCCGCTGTAGCGGCAGCGCCTGGAGAGGACTTGGGCAGCATGCCGCCTGATGACGAGATGCCAGATTTGGATGAGGTCGGTCGAGACCAACTTCCGCCGGACGAAGGCCTCAATGTGCACGGCGCAGATCCAGAGGTGCTTCTCGATGGTCGCAATGCGGACAATGTGGATCTCGCAGATGTGAGCGTCGGTGCTTCGCCACTTCGACGTCCAATTCGCAGGTCTGGGGTGCCGCCGGTCAGATCGAACGTAGAACAAGACTTTGAACATCTGGACGACCTGGAACAGCAAAATCGTCAAATCGTAGAGGATCGCAAACGCAAGCGCAAAGGATATCTGCATTTTCGTCTGCTTGGCGCCCCGTCGAGCGCTCAGGAACCGTTGCCTGAGACGACATCTTCTGATGACGACGAGATCGTCGAGGAGCCGTTGCCGGCTCGAGTAGGTAGGGGTGCAGTGCTGAACCCTTCTAAGCGGCCTCGCAATCACATGAATAGAGAAGAAAACGAGCGTCTAGGAGCTGCTTCAGATGTTGCAAAGACCAACGTAGCAAAAGCTACACGAAGCAAAACGCGAAGGAGTGCTAGGTCGGAGCAGAACAGCACCTCTGATTCCCCACGCCAGACACGCTCAAGAGCGTCCACACGATCTCGCAGGGCAGCGCAAACAGTCAACGACGAGAACGTGCCGGCAGAGGATGCAGAATCGAGTGAGGATGAGGAGGAGCATGAGGAGATGGACGAGCTGCTAGAAGTGCGCCGACCACGAGCTTCTTCCGTACGATACAAGCCCAAAAAGAACGCAGAGATCTACAAGACGGGAGGTAATGCTAAGGGCAGACAGTTGTGGTCGGATGAAGAGACGAGGGTGTTACGATCTGCGCTGCGTCGGTTTGCTAGAAGAAAGATGAAGAATCCTCATGCACTCGTGTATCGCGATGTCATGCTTGCGCATGGGCAAACTGGAGATAGGAAGCTGGCGAGATGGAACAATGTGCAGCTCAAAGATAAGGCTAGAAACGAGCTGCTACGCATGAGACGTGAAGGAGAAGTGGTGAGTAGGGGCAGACTAATCGAGTGTTTTATCGCGTATATGCGCCAACTGCTGATTCGTGCCTGGTCGTGTCGCGAGCAGATTCCGTACTGGAGAGCTCTGCTATTTCCCAACCTCTGGGAAGAGAAAAAAGTACCCAACGCTGAGGCGCCTCCTGATTCTGAGGACGAGTCGGACGAGATTGTGGAAGACGAGGATGATGATGAGGACGAGGAAGACGAAGCGGATTCTGATCAGCACGAGAGCGCAGAGGGTGCGACTGGTGCGGAAGAGGCAGATGAAGATGTGGGAGAAGTGGAAAATGCGCTCTCTTGAGTCGTGCGTGTATCGGCTGGTGGGCATCCGTCACTGCATGGCCGATAGGCGTCGATGTTGAGCGCATCGAAAGTCTTACTCTCTCGGTATCGAGTCCAATGTAGCTTCACGTACCGGTCACGCCTTACACTTGCCATGTCTTTACTATTGAGCCTGTCGCAGTAACCAAATCGACAATTCCTAGTGCATGGCGGGCGGTGGAGAAGGACAAGATGACAAATGTGGTGTCTGCGATCGTTCGATACCTGGTTTTGAAAGCTGCAGTTCGCATTCAAATGATCGATCGTCCTCTGGAGTATGTAGGTCTTGACGTACCTGGTCTGTGAATGAGTGAGGCTCGTCCCTATCAAAGGCAGAGAGAGAAAGCGCACGACCTCCATAGGCATCTGCTGGGTCCCCAAGTTGGAGTCGCGGGCGCGTGAGTCAGTCACGAGACGCGTGCCGGGAATCCTCGGCGACTTCTGCACGCGCGAAGCAGCGTGTCGACCGACATGTGATGCAGCCGATCGATGCTGTGCATCACGAATCGCGAGCGGCAATGTAAGGTAAATCAGAAGAATGTAGAGCACACACGTTGCTAGCATCTGCTTCTCATCTCGCTCTCCATCCTCCCATCTCGAGGCTGTTTACAGCTGCTATAGCAGATCGGATTGTGGAAGGGTTGAGCTTCTCTTCTTCCCGACTCCAGCTTCCGCAGCAGCCGCTCTCGTCGCTGCTCGGCTCGCAACCATCATGTCTTGGGCGGAGACGCAACACATCTTAGCGTCGCCCACCAGTCTAGGCATTCCCATCACTTCCCTCGCATTCGATCCATTCTCCGATCTCCTCTTTTCCGGCACATCAACCGGAAACCTATTGGCTCACTATGGACCTTCTTTGAATCGATACACTTCTGCTTTGGCTCATGGTACAAAGACGAAAGATAGTAGGATTCATCCGCAGGAATCGGTCAGGGGTATCGTGCTGGATGAGAGATGCGTGTACTCGGTGGGAGATGGGAGCGTGAGAGCGCAGAACCGGAGAGGATTGTGTAGGTGGAACGAGCTGATTGGGTGAGTGTGTGCTCGCGTGGGTCAAGCGATGTCCGATGAGAGCGTAGCCCAGCAGATGCTTTGCCTACCAGAGAGCGGATGCGTAGTCACAAAGACGCCAAAGCTGATGAATGGAATCATAACTCGGGCTTCGCAAACCTCAAGGGCGAACAATCAATCCTTGAAACTCTCCTCCATCTGCTTCTCACCCGTCTTGTCATCATCCGACTTGATAGTCTGCGGATCCTACGCCGTTCCTCAACCAGATCCTTCCAGCGCCGATTCTATCCTGGTCCTCAATTCGAGCGTAGGAGGCATCGTTCGTCGAGGCACTTCCGATGCGCCACTTTCCCACGTGCGAAGGACGAACAGGCTGTTGGCTTGCGGTACTTCCAATGGACAGGTGCAGCTCAGAGACCCGAGGAGCTTGAATGTGGAACATCGCTTGCATGCTCATCCTGGTGGCCTCATCGAGGTGCAGGCAGAGGGCAACTACGTCTGGAGCGCTGGCTGGACAGTCAGGTGAGCCAAGCATAGCAGCGCAACAGGGCTCAGCTTAGTCAAGTGTCCCAGCAGCAAGAGTGCTGCCGCGCTGACGTGCATGGCTGTGCTGCCCTTCGTGACAGACTCGGACATCCCGTACCCGAGCCGTACGTCAAGGTGCACGATGTGAGGTCACTGCGAGCTTTGTCCCCGTTGCCGTTCTCAGCGCCAGGCGGACCTGCGCTCTTGGCAATCCATCCCAAATTGAGCAGCACAGTCATGGCCGCATCTCCAGGTGGACAATTGCAAGTGGTAGATGTGAACAATGCTGGAAGCGCGCAATACTTCCAAGTCGCTACCAATAGCTACCTGTCTTCCATGGCTGTCTCTGCCAGCTCGGACTACATGGCCTTTGGTGAGGGTGACGGTAGCATACGGTTGTGGGCAAATGTACCCCCCGGCACCGACCCCACCAGTGCTGGATTGAGATTCGCACCGCACATCGCCAGTCCACCCGAGATGGCCGACGTGCCCGAAATGCTGCAGCCCATACAGTGGAGCATTGAGACGTAAGTACATGGCAGCCCTTGTAGTGTTGGCATGTGTGCGGTTGCGCTCACGCCCTGTTGTGCTCGTCTCAGTCCCCTGTCAAGTATCGGCATGCCACACTACACCGAGACTCTCTTGTCGGTACTCGACTACAGCCACTACAGCTCATCTGCCTCGCCACTGTTCAACCCGCCAACAAAGATAGATCCGCAGGTGCTATCCACCATGCGCTCTGTGGACGGAGTAGCCTACGCTCCGCTTCCTCGTCACTTGCGCGGCAAGAGGAATCAGATAACCGGTCAAGGCCCCGGCGGAACTGCCAAGGGAGACGCACTGAAAGCTGCAGGACTGGCGGGCGGGTCGAGATCTGATCCGGCCGAAAGACGGAGAATAGGCGTGCCACTGTTCAGATCTGAAAGGGAGAAGGAGCAAGCTAGAGCAAGGACGAATGCTGCTGACTCGCAGACTCTCGACACTCCTCTTAGCCCGGGGGCTGAATTTGCCATTTCGAAAGAAGAGATCAGAGGAATGCCATCCTACTATGGCGTCAAGACCATCCAGTACAGCAA